AAATGTGAATTTCTTACCCATTCAGCGGGAATGAATCCGGGTAATTCATGTATCATTTTGTAGCGCAGATCCAGGAGAACAAGACCTAATTAATATAGTTTCCAGTAATCGAAATATTTTCGAGATTTTCGACTTCGCGTTAAGTACAAAAATTCAACAAATAATTTGAATTGGTACCCACCCGAGAGAAAAAAACTTATAATCATGATATATACCATTTTGTAGCCGAGATTGAGTACTACGGAAATCTCTTATAAAATTGTCGCCATTTAGTAAGTTACAAGAGTTATGACACTCGGCGTGAGCAATGATGATATTCAATGTTCACAATTGACATGTACAGTGAAGAAAGTGAAATTCTCTCTACCGCGAATATAAAAATTACGCGGAATGTTGTCTACCATGTTGTAGCCGAAACTGAGTACTACAGAAATTTCTTTTGAATATTGTCGCCAATTGTTAAGTTAGGAGAGTTATGACGCTCGACGTGAGCAATGGTGATGTTCACTAATACTCTCACTGACTAGAAACCGACTGATGTTCTTCTGGTAATGTCACACAATGTTTGAGATTTCTGAAGATTTATTTTGATAAGAATCACCTCATTATTCATAACAGTATACATTTTAAAAATAATAAAGATATAGAATTGAATTCACAATAACTATAATGGAATCAAAAAATCTCTTCTTGAAACACGGAATGTGTTTCGTGAAGATTATTTTCCCATAATGAACTTTCCGTTCATTAGGTTCTCAATTTGCTCCATTTCGTAAAGATATCATCCGTTTCGTAAAGAATTGGAATCTATATCAGAATCCGAATTTATATCTGGATTTGTATATTTTGAGGACTTTTCCAAGAAGATGAAGAAATAAGGAATGTCATGCAACAAGTGATAATTGCGCATCTTACAGCATAGTATGGTTTAATAGAACAAGTTTTGACGAAAGTCAGTATGAACTGTTTATTGAGAATTAACATCTCTATCAGAATCCTTTCGGTTTCGCAAATTATGAGAGGTTTTTTTAGAATGTCTAGGTACATGATCGTCGAGCAATTTCAAAGCTCTGCATTCAAAGACTCATTCGATCATCATGAATCAAGACTATTCTTCTGCATTTGTTACCATTAACTATTATTGTTCCTTTCTCATGCATGTAGTCATGAAACCTACTATTCAGTCTTCTTCTGAGCTTGCTTTAGCAGTGCTAACTTTCTTTTTTTTCATCTCATTTCGGACTTTGAATAGTTTCACTTGTTCGCGATGTGAATGATCGGTTCCAAGAGATTTTCATGCTAGAATTCAACATATGACCTATTCTCTTTCCCAATTTAGGTAACGTTATCGTGCAGGTATTAGTCTACCTTCAAAAACTGACAGTTTGAAACAATCAGTCGAGAAGATTTCTGTAACCAGATGTCAAACCGCAGTTGTCCACTTCGTTTTCTTAAGATATTCGGTTTAAATCCAGATTCCGAGTGGTATTTGCTCTGGATCCCAGGATCCCGACTTTTAAATCCCATTCTCGGGGTTGTGTTTTTGAAAATCCCGGAATTTGATGAAGCAGCATTTTCTGTAATTTTGAGTATAAACTTATCTCGAATTACATATCGTACGTTCTCAGTTAAGTCATATTCAGCAGTATTTGTTGTAGCCATCTGAGCGGTACCAAATAAATAAACCATAATGTGATAGCGCCATTTCGTATTTCCTTTTTCAGAGAGCAGAATTCCTTAGTGTCGTCACTCTTGCTTCGCCTGCTGTCATCGTTGTTGTTTTTTTTTTCCGTTTGTGATCATTTTTTAACCTCGAGGTTGAAAAAGGGTGGAATTTTCTCTATAGTTTCAGTGAATGGGCATTGCTTTGTTTCTTTAGATTCATAACTAGCCGTTGTTTCTTAGGAACTTCAACAATCAGATTCAGAATCATGATATTCTGATGTGATCATGCAAAGATTCATGATATTCATACGTCGAGGATATTCGAAACGCTGTCAAGTCAGAGGGTAGATATCAGATCTAATGCGCTTATTTCAGGTGATTCTTGCAGAATGAACGATTTGGTGAGAGATTTGCAGCTAGCTCACTGTATTGAAACCTTTTATACGGGTGGTTCAGTAGAATGGAGCGCAGATGGACGTTGTTTGTTCACAACTTGTTCGAATGTTGTGAAGGCGTTGAATGTTGAAGATGCGAGCACTCGGTTAGTGATATTCACTGTGATTTTCTTTCCATTTTACTTTTTGAAGTAAAAATACGATTGTAATTGACAAAACTGCGTATTATTGCGGTGTCGAATTCACTTACGGTTTGTAAGATTCCGGTTTGATTTATCGTTAGATTCATTACTTACCTGATCAGTCCTCCTCGTGCTTTCGGATGTACGTTCACCATTGTAGGTTTATACATATAAGCACTCCAGATTGAATTACGTGGTGCCCCTGTTCAGGGTGGAAACTGGAGCATGCACTTCTCCAGCATTTGATACTTACTAATTTCAGTTACATTATTGGTGACCCAGAAGAGTCTAGTCATGTCACGTGCGCCCAGCGTGTACCAAATTCGAACAGACTCATCGTGGCCTACTCCAATGGCCTTCTCGTTGAGTATGCCTTACCAATATTGGGTGCAGTTGTACCAGAAGGCACAGAGCTGAAACCAACCCTGATGAAACAATGGAAGTCGACACACACGGCACCGATAAAGATTCTGAAATTCTCTCCAGATTCAGAGATGCTCGCGACTGGATCAGCGGACTTTGCTGTAAAGGTATGATTTTCATATGGCTCCTACTCGGCTATATCTAATGAAATTTATTAATTCATGTGGTTATTCATATGTTTACGGTGTAATGAAAGTATAACGGTGATAATGCTGAAATTATGATAGACTTTAATAGTTTATTGTTATCATTTGATTGGAGAAGTTTCAAAATGTTTTGAGCAAAATCGCAATGTGCTTATGAACTGATTTAAAATGGTTGAGGTTACAATTGTTTTATTGCAAGTGTTTTAGTGATAGTTCAGTTTTACGAGGAACGATAAAATAGAAAAAGTTGATCTAGTCGGTTGAATGAGTTTCCATTTGGCAATGTAAAATTAAAAGTAATAACTAGGCTCCATTTCTGGTCTGTTACCTAGTAACGGAGTTAGAGATCGATAATGTTGACTTGATTCATACCTGAAGATGGGATGGTTCTCAGGTAGAATTTCTAAATGGAGTTTGTTTTGGTTTTATTATGATTGTTCGTTGAAGGTATGGAAATTGGATTCACAGTGTTGTGTAGCGTCTCTGAAAGGCACTTCAGCAGTCACAGAAGCATTATTCGTGGATGCGGATCGTATCCTTATAGGTTACATGGATGGAATGGTGAACTCCTATCGGTTGAAAGGCGAAAAGAAGTTGATCAGTAAATGGAAACATCATACCAGGCAAATAATGCATTCTTTTATTTCATCACAATTCTGAATTTGTAAATAGTATTATTAGAAAACTCAGTTCGGTTAATAGGAAGTAATGTTGAAAGAAATTTTGTGTCGCTTTTATGCTTGACGGCGTGAATGTGCCGCTGGATCCAGCCAGGTATTAAGAGGCGTAAAATTGGTTATTGAATTAAAACTTTCACGAACTTTTTCACGAAACTGACAAAATTCAGAAGTCTCTGAAGATCATTATTCTGTTCTTCTAATAAGTCATTCCTTCTGATAGATGTATGAGAAGTGATCATCTGAAGGAGGTTAAGATTAGTGGTAAGATTCTCCCATCTCACACAGTATATCTGTATTTTATTATATTCTCAATAGATGATTATTGCAGTCAAATAGTCTCGTTGTTGCTATTGAACGCAACAACAGCAGCAACGATCAGTCGAGATCAGACGATAGCATTGGTGAATGTGGAGACAAATGAGAAAATGAAAACTTTGCCGTTGTTCGAGCCTGTCGAATCGGCAGTGCTCATGGATGATGGAACGATGTTGACGGTCGGCGAAGAGGGTATCCTTAAGAGTTGGCAACCAATGACGGGAAAGTTGTTGAAATCGACGACCATTTGCAGGTATTTTACTTGAAAAGCTTTTTGCTGAATGGAACCTTCTTATCGTTTTCCGCAGAAAATATCTTCAATAGTGTCTTATTATATCATGAATCGAATACCATTGCTATCATTGTTGTTACTAGTGCTATTGATGTGGATAATTTGATGACAGTAAACAGTCGTGTGATCGGATGACTTGATCGAGAAAATATTTGTTTTAATGATTGCAACAATAAGATATAGATAAATACGTGCAAGTGTATTTAGTGACCTTTATCCTTTAGTTTTGTACCGTTGAATATTGCAGAATGTAATCTTGGCTAGTTCATGGAAGCGTTGTTTTTTCTCATTCTGAAATTCAAATGAAAGTGCTTCAAAATAGGCCAATTAAAAGCGAATTTATTCAGGTGTCGTATCGACCAAATTCTGCGAAATCCTATTTGTGGTGAGCTGTTGCTGATAAGTTGTGAGTCGAATTTGTATATATTGGATGAGCGAACGTTCGAAGTGAAACGTGAAATGGTCGGTTTCAATGACGAAATATTCGATTTGGAGTTCGTTGGTTCCAAAAGCGCGGAACAGAAATATATGATGGTTGCGGCGAATAGTCCTGAGATACGAATGTATAGCACACAAACCTGGGAATGCCATCTTATTTCTGGTTAGTAGTTTTCTGCTTTTTCTAAATACAATTTTCTTTGATTATTTAGAAAAACGCATTTTTGTCAATTCATGAAGGAACGCGATAATAATTCTCCAGTATAAGTTTGCATAAGAGATTAGGTTGAGTATTTATTGAGTATTCGAAGATGTTGAATTTGCTGACATTGAGCTGTGATATTGAGTTTGAATGGGATGATATTCGAAGTAGTTCTGATAGAAATGACAATTTGGCAGTGATGATAACGGATTCCATTATCGTCCTATTATCGTTGTGATTCGTTTAGTTAAGGTTATGGATGTGCATTAATCATCAACACAATGGATTTAGGAACTTGCCCTTTTTCAGTTTGACAATTAGTTATAATAGATAATCAACTTACACGTCGAGAAAGGAATCAGCAGTTATCAATCACTATTTCAGGTCATACTGAAAGTATTTTGTCGGTCATAAGTGCCCCGTGGGATACGAGCGTATTTGCGACGTCGTCAAAAGACAACTCGTTTATTGTATGGAAATTAGACGAAGGCGACAGGAAGACACCAGTTCCACGAAAGGTATTAAATGATTGGTGCATCCCTCGAGTAATTTAAAGCAATGTTTCGGAATGTTTGTGTTGAATTTTGCAATCTCAATTGATGATTTTTGATTTTTTGTCGGAAGTTGCAATGCTTTCTTGTGAAATTTGAATAGAATTCTGGCTGTAATTATGCCGTTTTATGTGGTTTTCTTGGGATCTTTGGGCTTTGGTGATGAACAGTGTTAGACTTTAGTCACAAATTTCGATATTCTATGGAGCTCTGTTACACTCTGTTTTTTTGCGATGTAACGGATAAAAAGTTTATTTTCAGATTGCCTTAGCGACAGGCCATACGAACAATGTAACGGCGATACGTTTTTCGAATACGTCGAAAAAGCATTTCATCGTGTCTGTCTCAAATGATACAACTCTTAAACTGTGGTCGCTAGCAGACGTTGGTACGTCGGATTCTGAATGGTAAGTGATCATTCAGTAAGCGTGTTTTGAGCGGCGATTCTGTTCCAGTTGGTATGGTTTATTTCTTTGATAAGGTTTCAATCGTATTTCTTCGAAATCAGCATGAATGCTGACTGGCTGTTATGAACTAGTACACCGTTGAGATCGGTAAACGAAGGTTGTGTTGGTGATGAATTATCGGTACCCGGTCAATCTCTTAAAGACATTTTGCCTAACGGACAGTTTGCTTAACTTACGGTTTTACAATGGATAATTTGCCTATTAGGCAAACTGTTCCCAGGCAAACGGTCTGTTAGGCAAATTATCCGTTAGTCAAACTGTCCATTAGGCAATGTGTCTTTAGGCAAACTGTCGTTAGGCAAAATGTCTTTGGACAGATTGACCGGTCACGGAATTATCATATTTGTTTGGTGAATAAGTTATTGAATCAATGAGATAATTATGTGATATAAAGCTTTTTAAACGTAGTTTATAAAGCTTATTTGAACGTAATCCATCTGAATTGCAGTGTAAAACTGAGTGCGGCGTCAACGCTTGTGGCGCATTCGAAAGATGTGACTTGTGTGGACGTGAGTGCGAATGATCGTTTGTGTGTGACGGGTTCAATGGACAAAACAGCGAAACTCTGGCATATTGACCGGGCGAAAATGCAGCTGGGTATTGCTGGAACGTTGAGTGGACATCGGCGAGGTGTATGGGATGCTAAATTCTCATCCACCACTCAGGTGATTCTTTTGGACTCTTACTCGTTGGAACGATAGAGTGAAAATTGAAATGTTTGTAAAAGCAGAGTGGAAATTCTTCCTGCAAGACAGAATTTGAAATAGAAGATTTGGAAGAAATAGTTTTTTTTTTGGTGTCGAGAGCAAAATTAGTTCGTAAAGCGTTCAGAAGTTTTGAAGATAATTCGCCTCCTTTTATGCAATATTAGAATATCCATCCGATAATGTTCTATTGAAATGTAATGTTGAGTTGATGTGTACAATTGGACTGAATACTAAAATTTGGGCTGATTTCTTTGTGTGATGATTTATTCGCATGGAGAAATAGTAGATAATTTTTACGAGATATATGGAACCGATTTGATGTGTATAATGAAGTGGTTGTACTGGTTTGAAGGTAATTGCAACATGCAGCGGTGATTGTATGGTACGTGTGTTCTCAATAGGTACGAAAGAGTGTTTGGCAACGTTGAGTGGTCACCCGTCAGCTGTCCTCAAGGTGATTTGGACGGATTATTTGAGAAATTTATTTGTTCGATTCAATTCATTTGCAGTTTGTTTTAGTCGAGTAAAGAAAAGATGTGGCTCTTTGAGATGCTTTAAGGCGTTTTGAAACTTTTTTGGAGCTTAATTTTCGGTGAGGTAATTAGAAAAACAACCGTACTCATGTGTTAGAAATATCTGTGTTAGTGTTTGTAGGCATTCTATAATGAAACATTAAGTAAACGTTACTGAACCATTTGTATTCTTCAGTATCTTGAATGCATTGATACGTCTCAAATCAGCCAAGAATGCCTTCAGTGAAACTTCTTGAGGTTGAATTTGATATTAGTGAACCTCTAGCATGCGACAGCTATTAAAGCTAATTTTTCAGGCCATTTTCTTGAATAACGACAAACAGTTGTTGTCGGCGGATAGTGGAGGTTTGTTGAAAATATGGTCGTTGTCGGGGAAAGATTGTGTGTCAACAGTCGAGGCGCATGATGACAAAATATGGACGGTTCTGGGTTATGAGGATGAAAGCCGTTTCGTTACTGGTCTGTTTTGTTTTATGCACATGAAGATTTTTTTCAGTTCAGTTCTTCTTATTGGTATTCGTGACGCTTCAGATTCGTGACATAGAAGAATAACGAATGAAAATGAGATGAAAGCAAATTTTTATTATCTTTTCGTTATTCGTTTTGAGATGACACTTTAGGTGTTACTTAGGTTAAATACACAAGAGCAAATAGTTTTCTATCCTGGTGTGTAAAATATTAATATGGTTCTCTCCATGATGGCGGGCACAGTTGCTGTTGTCTAGTAGTCTTTTGAAGTAGGTGTTATGTGGTGGTGCGCTTTCAGCTGGTAGTGATGGCCGTATCCGAATATGGGAAGATGTAACCGAGAAGAAACGAGAAGAAGAAGAGCTGAAGCGGACGCAGCAAATTAAAGACGAACAGAAACTGTCAAATCTGATCGAACAAGGCAGATATGCTGAAGCACTATCCTTCTCACTTACATTGTCGAGGCCTTACAAGTAAATTGCGTTTATATTTATGTAGTTAATGTCTTCATTATTTGAGTTATTCATAGAGTTGTTTTACTAACTCTTTTGATGGGATTTGTTATCATTTTCAAATCAATTGAACGTTGAGTTGATGAATTCCTAATGTGAACTGTGTTGATGTTGATTCGCTTCGAGTCATTATTTGTTGCTTATTGCTCAAGTTCATATCGTAGGCGTTGTAAAAATCGTTGAGAAATTTTGCAGATGTCTCCAAATTTTTTGCTGATTTCTAATAAAATTGGTGCTGTTTCAGCTGTTTGCAAGTAGTGAACGCTATGTTGAATCAAGAAGATGATAGCGAGTTGCGAAAGGCAATATGTGATCTCCTTGAAGAGCAACTTGTGATACTGCTTGATTTCGCTTCTCAATGGAACACGAATAGTCGAACTTCATCGGTTAGTTTAGAAAGTTCTTGATCGTATTCAGTGATCATATCTCTTTACTTGATCGTTTTGCTTCGTTGCAATTATCAGTTAGGTGAATAATTTGTTTGAGTTACGCAATTGATACCGTAATTTTTGCATATACGATGTTATATGCTGTTGATTTAAATGATTATATTCAGTTTTATGTGATTCCCTTTCATTCATCATGGCACAGCTAACTAGAAGCTGTCTATTTCTAGGCGAGTCAGAAGGTGCTAAACGCAGTTTTGCGTACGTTTACACCTGAGCGCTTACTGAAAATGCCAAACTTTGCGGCCGTTGTCGAGTCGTTTATACCGTACACGAACAGGTAATACGAAAACAAACTGAGTTTGCCTTTTACTTTTTGTTTTTGTATGTTGCGTTCAATGTTTTGTTATCATTGATGTGAGAGTGATTGATTAGATGAATGCTTGAATCTTTTTAAGGCACTTCGAACGTCTCACAAAATCTCGTCAAAACGCAGCATTTCTTCATTACACATGGTCACAAATGAGGCTGTCAGAGGAGAATTTCGTGCAGCGGACATAACAGTGGAGAGTCTTATGATTAGTATATGGAATGTAGGTGCCGAATTGTTCAAAAAAATGAATCCGGGTTAATAAAATTTGCGCATCAGTGATTGACAGTTGATTGTTTGAATGATGTTCTCCGATTTTTCCAAGTTGTTATTACCACTAAAATATTTACTGTTCTGATGAATATCATTTGCTTGTGTTGTTTTTCTTATGAATATTGTTATGGTGTGTATCGTTGTTAAAATTGTTGTTGATTATGTTATTGTTATCGCTGTTTCAGATTCATTGTTTTTGTTTCATATTGTTAACTGACTGGTACCTCAGTTGAATATTCTACTTGATTATTAAAATAAATAATTTCTTTTCAGCGATGAAAATTTTTAGTTTCTCGCTTCGGAATGCGACGGTTGCGTCATGTAATCGTTATTTCTAATTGCTTCATTAGGTAAATGGAGACATTTGGGTGGAGTTGAGAGAGTCACTCTGAGTGAAATCGTTTTGTAGTTATGTAACTTTCAGTTGTGTTAGATTGACAGCATTAAGAATATCGAAACTCCATGAAAATATGGATAAAATGATGTCTGATGGCCACAAGCAACGGTTGACTCGTACCGAGTTGTTGTTATTGTTAATTGAATAATGATGAGCGCTGTCATCGTCAGTTATTAATTGTTCATTCCAGATTCTTCATAACTTCGGGTCTAGAAAGTCGGTAAAAAAACTGAAAAAGGTGAAAAGGAACAAACAGGATCGAAGAACTATCAATCACTAACAATAAGCGAAAATGGCATCCATGATGGATCCACAATTGGCGGATTTGCCGATCGAGATGGCCGTAGATAATGACGATGATATGCCAGAGCTGATCGAAACCGATCCAAGTAAAGGGCTGCCGTCACTCATCGAGCAAAATACGCCTAAAACAGTTGACGAAACTACGGAATTCACTCAGGTTCGGGTTTTACTCCTGCGAATGCAGAGTACACATACATTTGAGGTTGTTGCGAAGAGTCGACACTTGCAACTTGCATTCGCTGCGGTCTATGTGAATGATGTTGTTTTCAAAAAATGATTCAGCGATAGATAAACAAGCGTGGGATGTGGATGGCTACAGAATTCATCCGAATAGATACCTTGTGATTACCTAGCGACCTGTCTTCGCTGTCTACGTGGGCGCAGGTCAACCGATCCCCATACTACTCTATGTTGTGCAGACCTTTTCCATTCGGATGATGTCGTACATCCGAATAGGTAATTGACATGAAAATTATTCTCAGCAAGCCTAACAGCATAAGTAATTCGGCTAATATGTAAGTGTGACTGAATTTCTAACTACTTCATCATTATCTGATATGTCTACCCAGGTTTGGCATTTTCGTCAAGGTACATATCGACCGACGTCACTGCAGTATCTAATATTCTTTGCCTTAGTCATGTTTTTTGCGAATCATTTTATCAGTGTGTCTTCTGGTCGTTGTTTCGGTCTTCCGAGGGAACACTTATATCCTCGGGATGTTTGTGCCTAACTAATTACGCATGGAATATATCTTGGCAGTTGAAAATGTGTAGGTTATTTGACAGCTTCTGTATTCACACATGAGTATGTGTTGCTTTGTTTTTTAGTCGTGCAGCTGAATGCATTAAACTTAATGAGGTGAAAATTTGATTCAAAATCGGATTTTTCATTGCTTTGCCATTTTGTGATGCCGACTTTCATGATTAAGTATCGCCTATCAAAATGCATCACCACACATTCTGTGTGGGCCAGAAGATAAATGACTGTGACTGAATGACTTTCTCATTTCATTGAATCAATTTTATGTTCACGATTACGATGACGAACAAAGGCAGTTATTCCGTGTGTGTCATTGTTGACCGAACGAATCAAATAGCAACATCGCAATCGCTTAAAATAAATTCGATTACGCTTTACGCTCATATTGCTGACTGTTTATGGTATGTATTCAATATGATGAGATTGTTTTGTTTGTTGATGCATCCATCTTTATTTCGGTATCGTGCGAGCGATTGAAAGACAGATCGGAATAATGCTGAACTGGAAGAAAGGAAATTGCGAATGAAAAAGGAAATGAGTTCATTTAATGGCCCACACGCATCGTGAATAATAGTCACTGAAGCTGGAATACAGATGAATCAACTTTTAGCGTTAGCGTCAGGTGTAGAGCAGACTGCTGAAAGCAACAATTATTTTGTTTTGAAGTAGTTCTGAAGGCTCTATCGATGAGTTTTTGTTCGAGTTTTTGTTTTGGGCTGTCGGCATTTCGATAGGTTTATTGCTTTGGATTCGCTTTGATGTGAATCGGTCTCATCTGAGATTTGAGATGAGATGTGAGTGGTACTGATAGTAAACTTTAATGGGAGCACACCCGTGATCGGTTGGTGGGAAAAAGTTAGACATATTGGAATTTGAGTGCGTGAATAGATTAGAAAAATGATGATGAGGTACGAAGTATAAAGGATAAAGACATTATATGACTGGGACAGATTGATGGATGGATGGATGGATGGATGGATGGGTTGATTGGATTTTGAATGGGAAATTTTATAGGTTTTAAGGTTTTTTGAAGGTTTCTTTGAGGAAAAGATAGAATGTTGCGTTATGAGGTTGTATGCGCTAGTTGAACAATTGTTGCCTTTTGTTGTTACTTCATTGTTAGATTTGAGGTAATCGTTTGATGTTTATATGGCACGGTATGGGATAGTTTCACATAGATTCTTAAAAGTATGTGCTACATTTGACAGCAAACATGAATGTTATAAGAGAATGAATACGGTTTTTATCAAGAACGTGTTTGCTACGGTCATAAAAGTCCCACAATGACATAAATGTCACTAGCAAATGTGAGAAATGGATAGCAGAGTTTTAAAAAAAGAATTTTATTTAATCAGCAAATCAAAATCACTACGAATTTATGCCTCTCTGTTATCAC